TGTGCAGAGTGTGGGAGAGGGGCACTATTAACGTCTCTGCTGGGGAAATGTCAACCCAGCTCAGCCCGTCTCTGGGCTGTTGGGCAGGGACACGTGCTGTCATTGCAGCGGGGAGGACAGGGTGGTATTTCAGGGCAGTGGGACATGGACCCGTAGGAAGACAGCTTTGTTTCAGAACAATTAATTTTAACAAAAAGAAGAATTCTCTTAATTTTGGGAGCTGGAGGCTTCCAGGTCTCTTCTCCCAGGTAATGGGCGATGGGACGAGGGGCAGCGGCTTCAAGTTGTGCCAGGGCAGGGTGAGGTTGGCCATGGGGAACAATTCCTTCCCCTTGGGGCTGTCAGGGGCTGGAAGGGGCTGCCCAGTGAAGGGGTCGAGTCCCCAGCCCTGGGGGGATTTAACAGCCGGGCAGAGGCGGTGCTGAGGGCCAGGGTTTGGGGGTGGGATGGCAGGGGTAGGGGGGCGGTTGGGCTGGGGGAGCTTCAAGGGCTTTTCCAACCTAAACAATTCCATGATCCTATGATTCTATGAAAATAAGTTTCAAATATCAGAAAGGCTCATCATTTTGATGCAATGGTAAGAACTGAAGACCAACGTGTAATTTCTTTTTTTTAAAGGCACTTTTGGGAATACAGGTGCCTTTACTTTTTAATTCGCCCATTGGACATAACAGCTGTCCAGCCTTTGTTTTCTTCCCCCTATGAAATTTGTAGACATTACAGTCTGCTATGTACAGACATTTAAATAAATCAGCATTGGAAGGGACTATGGGTAGAGGATTGTAAATCTGATGGTTGCTTTGGACCCTGTGAAGCGATGGCGGTGGATAGAAGGTACGTGGACTCTGTAAAGGAGGTTTTTTAATATGGATAGAAGAGTGAACATATTTGGCTACAAATGTACAAGTACTGAAGGGGGCCAGAACAACTCTGTAGTGGTGGAAATGTTTGTAGGGATGGTATTTCAGCATGAGAGTAGAAGCAGAGACAGAGAATGAGCCAGACCAGTGACTGAGCAGAGTAAAATGAAGTTTAATGAAGAATGATCAGAACCCCCAGAAATGAGAACAAAAGGAGAGGTGAGAACAAAAAAGAAAACAAGAGCCCAATAAAACCTGAAGAGAAATAAAGGTATCAGTGAAAGAACGGAAGAAGGTGGTCAGGAGGAAACGTCTGAAGGAAAATAATTAACACTGCACGTAGATTCGATATCAAAAGAAGGCTAAATGACAGGAATGAGTGCAACAGCAAAATGCACCAGGTGAGGAGGAGCTCAGGAATAGAGAAAGCAAAGAGCAAAGGCGCTCCTTGGCAAAGTACATACCTAATTATTATCTCTTTTATCAAGAGGGAAAGGTGAGCCAGGAGTGGAGGTTGGATGGAGAAATGAGACCAGGAAACTTTGGAAGTAGTATCAGCTGGGTCGTCACCCGACATGGTGGCTGAGCGTGGGTGTTGGTGGAGAGCAAGATGCTGCTGAGGAGGATGTTTTGAAAAGCGACTTTGAAATGCGGAGTGGAAACCATTAGACTTATTTGCCTTGAGCAGAAAGGGGTTGAGTTAATGGAAAACACCGTTTTATCTTTCCAAAGTAATGTGTTTGAGTGCCTGACCCGCTGAGTGCTATTACTGTGAATGCGATGCAGACCTCTTTCTCAATCCAGGGCAAAAAGCTCTGCTGTAATCTGGACATGTGACATGTTTTCAAGAACAAGTGGTAAGACATTCAGTGTAGAAAACATGCATCTCAGATTCTTTTACTTATCATTGAGGAAACAGCCTCAAGTTGTGCCAGGGCAGGTTTAGGTTGGACATCAGGAAAAATTTCTTCCCCAAAGAGCTGTCAGGCACTGGGAGGGGCTGCCCAGTGAAGGGGTCGAGTCCCCACCCCTGGGAGGATTTAAAAGCCGGGCAGACAGGGTGCTGAGGGGACAGGGTTTAGTGGTGGGATGGCAGGGGTAGGGGAACGGTTGAGCTTGGTGATCTTAAAGGGCTTTTCTAACCTAAACGATTCTATGATTCTATGGATGCTTTGTTTTCTCCAGAAAATGCCAGCCTTTTTGCTCTCATGGCTGTTCTCTGTTGCCATGAGTGGGATCCAGGAGAACGTGCTATTGAGAGGGAATTGCTTTCCAATAAGCGGGGAGTATCAAGCTTCACGGAGGCTAATGAGTATGTTGTCTCTCTTCTACTCAGACTAAATGATGGAGCAGCTGAACTTCTTTGTGTTTAGCGGTGAAGGAAAACGGGGGATACTGTTACGGTGTCTCACAGACCAAGCTTGTCAGGACAGCGTAGAAAATGAATTGTAAAGAGGTTCCTTACCATTTGAAAAGGCGCAGGGCCTCGGTCTTTGGTTGTTCAAGCCGTATCTGTGGTTTGAGTCTTGTTTTCAGTGGCTAAGTTTACTAAAGCATCTCCTGTTCTTCCTTGTGCTGCTCATTTCTCTCCCTTTCCCGTCTCTAAGAGGCCACAGGCAACTGAGTCAGTTACCTACCTG